CGACTAGAGTTACCAGCTAGTTTGTCTCGGATCCATGATGTGTTTCATGTTTCTTTGCTTAAGAAATATCATCCGGATCCGACTCATATTTTGCCACCAAAAGATATTGAATTGGACGAGTCTTTGACCTATGAGGAACGACCCATTCGAGTACTAGATAGGAAGGTGAAGGACTTGAGAAATAAGCAGATTCCATTAGTTAAGGTTCTATGGCGACACCATGAGATGAAGGAAGCAACCTGGGACCTAGAGAAAGACATGCAAGAGAAGTATCTCGAGTTGTTTACGACTAAAGGTATGAATTTCGAGGTCGAAATTCTCTTAAGGGGGAGAGAGTGTGAGGACTTGTAAAATCCCTCATAGTTTTTTCTAAAATTCCCTTTTATTTGGAATTTATTCCTTTATAATAGCCTTACTACTCATTCACTCCCTCCATAATTGCAATCAAACATCTTTTCGTTTTCTTGTTATCATAAATTAGGGTTTTGCGTCTTTTGGTAGAGTGAATAATCGGTGTGGAGTGTGTACTTAATTTGATGATTAAGAGTGAGTTTTAGATAAGAAAAATTATATGTTTAGAAGTAATAATCATAAGTGAGTGAATCATAAGTTAAAACCCTAATACACGCGATTGAAGGAAAATCGGTTCGAACCGATATGTACCGTTTGCTACTGATTGAATACACCACTTTATTACCTTAATATCCTTGTTATTATTTCATAAATATCAGCCCCTTAATCAGCCTTGAGAGGGCCAAAATTGTTGACTAAAAATAAAGGAAAAAGAAAAATACTTTAAGACTTAATCTTAGAGTGACAAGTGGTAACCATCCAAGGTTTGTTTGACCAACCAATTTCCTTCTTTTTTATCACCAAATTCACTTCATTTCCTCTTCATTTCTACACATTTTGGCCGAGCTTGAGCAAAGAGAAGAAACCAAGTGAGAAAACTCCAACTTCTACCTTGAGTCATCTTAGTTTGAGAGAAATCACCCAATCCAAGAAAGGGGTGTGGTTCTCACCTACAAGCACTTTTTAGAAGGTATCTTGGCTGCCATTCCTTTTTCTCTTCTTAATTTTGCTAAAGTTTGGATAGAAACTCTTAATCTTGGTTTATGACGGTTAATTATTGAGTTTTGTATGATATGGTGGAATGTTTAGCTAAGATTTGATATTTTCAGTTATGATTATTGTTTTCATCTAGTATATGATGTTGATAGCTTGGATAAAGATTTGGGATAGTGATTCAATACATGAATGTAATTTTCAAGCATTGAATCATCACATTCCAGAAATTGTAGGCCAATCTGTCCTGTTTTTGACCTATATATTCGAGTATGATAGAGGCTGAATGATGTCTAGGTCAAAACATAAAAGTTGTTGAGAATGGAGTTATATAGATTCCTGTAAAATTTCAGCTCAATCGGAGTACTGTAACATGTAAAATGACAGAATTATCCCTGACTGCCAAATGCCCTTTCTACACGGGCAGTGTTCTGTTTTCTCTGAGATTGCACATTTTGATCTTGAAAATGAACGAATTGGCTGCCAATGTCTTCATAAGACTTGTAGGTCTATGTCCTAGCTTCGAAACAGCATAAAGTGTACCCTAATCTGATAAGCGTAGCTTCAGTTGTGACCAAAATACTATAAGACATCAAATCTGCTATTTAGCTATTTGCCTTTAAAATTGGTTTCCGGTTGCATTGCTAGACTTGTGTTGTAATTGGATGACTTTGAGCTTAGATAAAGGCCTATTATGTTAACATTGCTTATGTGTGACTTTGGATTGAATTGAGGAAATAATGAAGTCATAAATGGCTAGAAAATAGCGAAATACAAAGGGCGTGCCACCCAAATTTTCACTCGAGGGTTAGGCGTATGTACTCGCGACTTGGGCGAAAATTTGAGAACGAATTAAGCTTGATTTGTCTAGAGTATTCGAGTCTACTTTCATAGAGATATATAAGCTGGAATTTGGCCGAAACTCGTATCCTTGGAAAAAATGAAAGTAACGACCAATAAAAATACATTATTCTCGTCTTTTCGACTCAAATGGGAATTTCAAAGTTTTACTCACTTTATTTCCAAAACTAAAAGAGCAAGCATGAGTTTTCTAGGACATGAAACCAAATGAGTTTCAATTACTTGTTTTTCGTTAAATGGAATACTTAAGTTTCGAACCTTAGTTGATTTCAAAACTCTTAAACGATATTTTATCGCAGATTTGGACTCCAAACCAAGAGTAATACCTGAACGTGATCTGAAGAAGCACTAAATCTTTGGTGACTGCTTCCAAATACTTGATTGAACTTAATACTTATTTTCAATACTTGACCAATGTGATCGAATGATATGCATATGATCGGGCAAGGGTGTATTTTATCGCACTTGTCCTAATGTGCTATATTCTTGTTCACTGATTGAAAGTGACTTGATGTATATGCATATGATTCGTATCTTGTCTGGAATTCCAGAAACCTTTTGGCTTGTTAATCGAGTCGAACCGGCCAAGGTTTGGTCGATTCGATAACGAACCCTAGGTTTTGAGTTTTGTCGAGTGGAGTGTTATCTCTTCGATTAATCGATATACTCGAGTATTACTACCAGTGTTTATCTTGGAGTTCGGGCCCGGTAAGGGGTTTGTTTGGTGGACGGAGATTGGAGTTAAGTGGTGTACTACTGGATTGGTTACTTTACTTGAATGTTGACGGAGTGTCAACTACTATACGATCAAGCTATGGTGGAGCTAGTTTACAAGAGCAACTGTATCCTTTTACATGAAATGCTGAATATTTTATGTTTGGTCATCCAAAATATTATTGCTCATTTTCTTGATTTGTTAATTCTCGCTACTTTACTATTATGATATTGTCACTTGTACTTACTGGTCAACTTGCTATTTGGGACCTAACTGAGGTTTAACTCATTCTATTAGTTTTGTTTTCCTTACAGGGGGTACGAGCGAGGCGTGAGACTTGTACAGGCTAGCGTAATTTAGTTTTTGAAAATTTTATAATTGTACTCATACTAGTCACTCAATTAGGGTTGAATGTATTTAAAACTCCAATCTTTTGATGTATTTAGGATTGTATGGAAGTTTGAGACAGAAATAAAGGTATTTGTATATTTCAAATTTGACAACTATTGTTTTCTTTGCATTAAGAAGTTGTGAATTATATTATCTGAAATAGTGAGTGAGTCCTGATGAGAGATGGGCAGGCGGTCCGCTAAACCCTGGGGTACGCCCTAGGGGAGAGTGGGGTAGTCACAGCTTCACTCTTAACTTGCCCTTGGCTTGTGGTGAGTGTCAAGTGCATGTTAAATGCTTATGTGATTGAAATGCTAATTGTACAAGTGTTTTACATGATACGTAAACTTGCCGAGACGAGAGTGTACTTTATCGCCCTCGTCCTCTCTCTCCCCTGATTACATGATACTTGTTAAATAAATATATGTGATTTGTTCTTGTATATGAACATTTTTAACTCGTGAGCTCTGAGCAGATGCATGTACCACACCAATTCGGGTGGGAGGTACCTCTCATGTCGACTCAGAACCGTAAACAATGATTGATAATTGTACATGTGATTGGTAATTGTACATGAATATGTGTAACTCGTGAGCTCTGAGCGGATGCATGTACCGCACCAATTCGGGTAGAAGGTACCTATCATATCGTCTCAGTGTTATAATCAGTTCTATAAACAATAGCATCTACCACACCAATTGAGGTGGGAGGTACCTCTCATGTCGATTTAGAACCATAAACAATTCTAAACGGATGCATGTACTATACCAATTCGGATGGGAGGTACCTCTCACACCATCTCAGTACTATAATTGGTTCTCGGAGCGATAGCATGTGTCACACCAATTTGGGTGGGAGGTACCTCTCATATCGATTCGGAACCATAAACAATTTTAAGTCGATTGGAGCGATGTCTCATCGACCACTTATACTTCTGGGGGGCACCCCAACCCATTGGCCAACCGTGTAACTCGAGTCGGCGAGAGCTCCCGTATTCTTATTGAGTGTGTCTATTTTAAATTGTGAATTGGTTGAAGGTTATAACTTTAATTCTCGCATAAGTGCTATTGCTGCTTGAACTATGTGTTTGCATGTTTTCTTTTCTTGGCCTCACTAAGTGTTAGCTCATCCCATTCAGTTTGTTATTCCTTAACAGAAGAGTGACGTGAAGGAAGCGATTGGAAGATACTAGTGAAGGCTAGTCTTTTGTATAGTTTGGTATTTTGTAACTGACCTTTGGGAATTGTGAGATTTGGAACTCGATGTAGTTGACTTGAGATTTGTACCCTTGGATGTACTTGTGCAATGAAATATTATAGTCGTATTATCATTTTGGGCATTTTAGATGTAATCATTGGAATTGGTCTATTTTCATTTGAGGATTGTAGTGAGTCCAAACGAGAGTTGGGCAGGCAGTCCGCTGAACCCTTTGGTTCGCCTTAGGGGAAGGTGGGGTCGTCATAGTTGGTATCAAAGCTTAGGTTTTAGATCTTTGTAGTGTATCCTAGGTTTAAAAGTTTAGGATGCCGGACTGTGGGATTTGATTGTGTATTAAGTGCAATGTGGCCTTAGTATTTGATGTTTTAGCGAGTAATATTGAAGTGTTTGTATTGAATTAAAGTGAAGTGCTTGATGTTTTAGTGAATGATGGGGCTTGGTATCGCGAATTCTTCTAGTTCTGTTCCTAACTAGGATTATGGTTTTCTTTTTTTTTTATCTTGTCTAGGATAGTAGGGGTGGTGCATGCCGTGAGTGTTTTTATATTTTGCTTATATGTACTCCTATATTTTGTGGCACTTTTTTTTTTTATTTAAGAAAAAGGAACTTTTAATATATCAAAGGAAAACAGCCCAAAACCCAGCAGGCGAAAAATAAAATAAGGAGTACTTCCTCCCTTACACTGCCTCCAAACCCATCGCTCTAAAGCGCAAATGCCCGAGAACCTACCCGAAAACCTGAAGACTGCAACCTAGCCATCCTCCGCTAACCACCTTACCCCTGGCACTCCCCGTGAATCCAGTAAAATGGCAGACCGAACAACCGCCGGCAACTGGTGTCCCTGCTCATAAACCTGAGAGCCAATTACCCCAACCGCTGCAAGCCTATCTGCGGGTACGTTGGCCTCCCGATATACATGTGAAATGGCAGCCGAAAAAACCTCCAGAAGACCTCTCACCTTCCTTAAACTGTTACAAAGAGGCCACTTCGCAATCGCCCCAGAGACAACCAACTGCACCAAGGCCTTGGAATCTACCTCAACCAATGAAGGATACACTCCCCGTTGTAGACACAACTGCAACCCAAAGAGTAATGCCATACACTCTGCCTCTAACACCCCCTGATCCCCGAACTCCTTGTAGAAGGCAAAAATCAACTTCCCCTGATAGTCACGCAGCAACCCACCCCCCGTGGCCCTCCCTTGAAGCACACTGGCGTCCGAATTAAACTTAAACTCCCCAAAGCGCGGCCTTTCCCAGGCAATCGCACATGGGGAGCGTCGCCTCGGAGACCCTCTGACCCACCGAAGCAACTCACAATCGGCATCACCTGAGAACTGGGACCGACACAGCTTATTTGCCCTCCCCAACTGCTCCATAAAACTATCCACCTCGCGAATAATCCTGTTGATCTCCCAACGCCCTCCTTGAAAACGCTCCTGGTTCCTTGCCAGCCAGAGAAACCAGCACACCACAATTGGAATGAGCACCCTAATATGGGTTTTCGACAAAGCCTCAGACGTCAGAAACCATGCGATAAACACCGCGGCCATGCTTGTGCAGTTGCACAACTGAAACCCAAACCGGCTAGACATTCTCTTCCATACTTCCGATGCAATCGGCCCTGAAACAAACACATGCAAGAGAGCCTCCTCCTCCCCAAAGCAACACCCACACCTGGAAGGCACCGCCAATCCCCGTGACCTCAACACCACATCCAAAGGGATAAAACTCCGCACCAAACGCCACGCTAAGAACGACATCTTGGCCGGCAAAGCTGGCTGCCAAAGGAGTGAGTCGACCAAGGAAGGACACCTCCGTTACCGTAGCACCTCCCAAGCCGATTTCACCGTAAACAACCCTGATGTAGAAGGCAGCCAAACCAATCTATCCTTCTGAGAAACATCAAATGGAACGTCCTTGATTACACTGATAACCGAATCCGGAAGCCATTGGCCAACACGAACCTCATCCCAGCCCTCATTCGTCAAAAACTCCGAAACCAGAAAATGCGGCTGCTCTGCTCCATCCACCACATCTTCCAAAGGCTCATTCAAAGCCCATCTATCCTTCCAAAAATCCACCAGACCTTCCCCTACACACCACCTAATGTTCGGTTCCACCAAACTCCTAATCGCCTCAAGACGTCTCCAAGTATGGGAAGGCCGGACAGACGAGGCCGCCAAAGGATGACATCCATTACTGTATTTTGCATGCATGAATTCCGCCCAAATGGAGTCTCCACTTCGAAAACGCCACCATAGCTTAGCTGCAAAAGCCCGAGCCATGTCCTTAAACGACCTAAAACCCAGACCCCCTTCATCAGTAGGGAAACACAGCTTTTCCCATGCGGCCCAATGGAGACGCTTCTCCCCTCTACAATCCCACAAAAAAGAGTTACAAATGATGCCCAAACGTGTGATCACCGCCTTAGGAGGGCTCAGCACCTGAAGCAAGTACATCGGCAGCGAAGATAGAACATGCCGAGCTAAAACCCGCTTACCCCCAAAAGATAGCATCTTAGTACTCCAGTGCCCAAGATGGTCCCTCATTTTAGCCACAAGACCATCAAACAGCGAACTTAGCCGGCGCCCTTTATAAATAGGGGCATCCAAATACGTAAAAGGGAAACAAGCCCTATGAAATCCCAGGACCCTCGTTACCATCTGCTCCTGCCCCATAGTGGCTCCCACCGCCAAGAAAAAGGCACTCTTATTGACATTCACCCGTTGGCCTGATACCTGTTGGTACCCCTCTAGAAAAACCTTGACTGCACTCAAACATTCTTCGGAACATCGGGTAAAAACAAGCATGTCATCCACAACAAGTTAAAAACAAGCATGTCATCAGACATTATTAACTTGTTGTTTACACATTGACATGTGACATGATTTCTAACTTATGTAAATATCCATGTATTGATTTAAAGTGTTCATGCAATGTGTACATGTTTTTCAATTCATGCGCTTATATTTTCCTCTTTTATTATGCGCTTAGAATCTTGCTAAATGGATCGGCGAGAACATGGATGGGGGCGTGGGCGTGGGTTTCGGCAACCCGCACTCCCGAGAGAGGTGAGGGATCCACAACTGGATCAAACAAAAGCCCTAGGAATGAAGGGAATGACCAAGTGGCTACGACCCTTAATCGCATAACTGATGTTCTCGAGCACTTAGCTAAGTGCCAAGGTCCAGAACCAGTTAACCAGTCTAGGAATCAAAAGAGGGGTGTGGATAGAGCCCTAGAGCGATTCTTGAAGTTCGCTCCACCTAGGTTTCAGGGAGGGTCTGATCTCGAGGTAGCAGAAAATTGGTTTGAGAGGATGGTTGAGATTTTTGCTGCTTTAGATTATACCGAGGAAAAGCAAGTGAATTTTGCCATTTTCTAGTTTGAGGGAGCAGCACGCTCGTGGTGGAATGTTGTAAGGGCGAAGTGGGAAAGAGAACAAATCACTTGGACTTGTGTAAACTTTGAGAGGGAGTTTAATGTCAAGTTCCTCCCGCCAATTATACAAGAAAAGAGGGAGGATGACTTTATTGAGTTGAAACAAGAATTACTAAGTGTGGCTGAATATGAATAGTAGTTCACTAAACTTTCCAAATTTGATCATAAACTAGTGATCACGGAGCGCAAAATGATAAGGAGGTTTATTCAAGAATTAAACGTAGAAATCCAAGAATCTCTAGCAGCTGCCCAGATCACCACTTTTACGAATGCCTTGAATAAGGCACAGAGGGTAGAGAATGCTAAGTTTCAATCTCAGGTTTTTCATGCTAGAAAGGGGAGTAAATCAAGCAATACCCCTGAACAGTCAAAGAGGTCTACTCAACCCCTTAAAATGGGAAAAGGGGTTGGAGGAGTGAAGATGCCTGAAAAACCTGGAGAAACTCTATAAAGCGAAACCTCACCAAAAGGAAATCAGGGTAGGCGAAATCAACAAAAGGGAAATTCTCAAATTGGTCAAGCCGTGACTCCTCACGTAACTTGTGGATACTGTGGTAAGATTAACCATACTGAGACCGAGTGTTGGAGAAAACAAAGAAAATATCTGAGGTGCGGTAGTACCGAACATAAGTTTTCGAATTGCCCTAGAACTTCTAAGGGAGGAGAAAATTCTCAACAACCTGCTAGATCCATTGCAAATCAGTTGAGTGTCAGAAGGAGTGATTAATGCTAATGATTGTAAGAGAGATCCAAGTAGTGGAAACTCTACGAATAGGAATGGATCCAGCCCTACTCGACAAATAGGGATTGTAGTTTTATCCTAAGTTAGACCGACACTTTTAAAGATTGTAATTTTGTATAGGGAATGACACCCTTTTGTTGTTTTGCAAATTGCAACTTAGCACATTTCGCTATGATTTTGTTGTTTCCCCTTTCTTTTGAAATGATTTGATGAAGTTATCCTAACTCGATGTAACTATTACGATCTTTTATAATATATGGAAAACTATGTTGATTTAATTGATTTTACAACTTACATGTATATTTAATTTGTTGTTTCGCACTTTTAGACCTGTGATAAGATCAGGAACGGCACCTGAGGATAGTTTTAAAAATTTCGAGAGAGCATCAACTTTTGTTAAGGACTATAAGTGTGAGTTTGAATGGGAGAAGTAGGACTTGATGAGAATTGTTATATAAAGAAAGGTCGGTAAAGATTTCTGATCAAAAAGTGAAGGAGTTAAGACGCAAGCAAACCCCCTAGTGAAGGTCTTATAGAGAAATCATGAAATGGGAAAAAATGACTTAGGAAGTAGACAAGGAGATCCAGAAGAAATATCTGGAGTTGTTCCTAGATCAATATATGAATTTTGAGAACGAAATTCCTTTTAAGGAGGGAAGGATGTGAGGACCCGAAAATTTTCTTATTTTTATCTTATTTTACTGGTTTATTTAATTATTTACTCACCCGTTTTTTCTGAATAATTTATTTCAACCATTTTAAATCCATTTACTTGGAACAATGTCTTACTCATATTTTTAAAACGTCCCGTTAGCAAAATTAATTTTCTGCGACTCGTTTAGTAAAGGAATATCGAATACATGTTTTTCGAGGCAATATTTGATCAGAGAGTGCAATAATTTCGGAGAATTAAGGATGGTCAATAGTGGACTAAGAAAAGTTAATTGAGGGATTAGATGTGAGTTGATTAATTATATTTTAGTTGCATGAATTGCCCTTAAATTTCGCTTTATAGCGCGTGAGTCGAAAGTTCGCGTATTTCGCATCGAAACGGCTAAGTGGAGATTTGAAAAATTAATACTAGACTACTAAAAGTGAATAATTATAGTGTTAAAAGAAGTACCTTGGAGAATTAGTGCATGAGTGTATCAAACCCAAGAGAAAACGGTGGTACAAAACCCTCGCGCGACCATTAGTGAGAGTTGACTTTTTGTACACAATCTAAAGCTACTTTTTCTCATTCTTTCTCTCCAAGTTTCATCACTCAAACCCTTCTCTTTCTCTCTCCATGGCCGGCTGAAACTCAAGAAAGAAGGGAAGAAAAAGCTTCACTCATCTAGCTCCCATTCTTGCTCCATTTCACTTCCAAAATTGCACCAACTTCAAAACCTCTTGGAGATCAACTCTAGCTTGGAGAAAGGCAACCTCTTGTGGTGTTTTTTGGAGAGTTTTTAGTAGGAAAGATCTGACTTCATCAAGGGTTTAGTTGCTTGGAAGGTATAAACATCTCCCACCACAACTCTTGTTTTCTTGTTTCATTTCTTGACTTTGAAGCTTGTAGCTTCCTTCTTGTTGTTGTTGGTTGGATTTGGTGGTTGAAGTGGGATCTATGAACTCCCACCTTGGTTATATGAGGTGCCATGATGTTTATGTGTGTGTTAGTGTGTTTGTGATGAGTTTTAATGAAAGAAACTAGAAGAGAAAGAAGAAAGAGAGAAACCGTGAGAGGACAAGCTGGCCGAAAATTCTGTCCATGTTGCTCTATTTTAATCCAAACTTTTGTTGGTTGTTTGGCTGTGAAATTGGTTGATATATGTTATATATTGTGTGAAGAAAGTGTCTACCAAAAATCATTTGATTTGGTTGAGCAAAACTTGAATTTTCGAAATTTGGAAGAAAACTGGAAATGGGTTCAGGTTGTCCAAACGTAACTTTTTGATTGAACATATCTCTTCGTACAAAATCCAAAATTGAGTGCCGTTTATAGCATTTGAAGCTATACAGTTGTATCTTTCCAACGGTATAAAATTCACGTTCTAGTTCGAACTGAGTGAGCCGTAGTGATTCGGCAAAGTTTGCTGTCCTGTTCTGATGGTCTGTCCGAGAGGAATGGAGGAGCTGCATTTTGTGGCTCTATTTTCCCTCATATGTGAACTGATTTTGAAAATATTTTCTCCTGATGAAATGTGAAATTTTGAATCTAGTTTCCAAAGCCACCAACCATTCCTAATTTGAACTTGTATTGAGTGAAATGTGGTTTGATTTTCAAAGTGCAACAAAGCTAGAAATCTGGAAATCTTTCTCTTCTTGCTAGCGAAATGGTTAGACTTGGTTTGGGACATTTTGTTTCGAATATTTTGGTGTCAATTACCTACCAAATGCTTATTAGATGTTCATAAGACCTTGGTTTCAAAAATGAACCGAATTGGAACTGATTTCATGCTGCAAAATGTTTGAGGAAAGAAAAGCAAGGGGACAGATTTGCTTTGAGAATTTCCTAAATTTTAGTAGTTTTGTTAACTACCTTCCCATGTGATTTTTTACATAAACTTTGATAGAGAAGTAGTTCTCATATGGAAGTTTAAGTGTATCAAATTTGGTGGAATTTCAATACCATTTCGATTTCCAAATAACGCCCCAAAGATGGCTCTTCAAATTTGGAAATTCACTGTTCATGTAGTGAAAATCAACCAACTTTGAACTATTATATCTTGTTGTTCAAAACTCCAAATTTAGTTCTGTTTGTTGTGTTTGAAACCTTGTTTGGAAGTCTTATTGTGTTATGAATTTCAAAGGTTGATTCATTTTCTATGAATTTTGCCGAATTTTCAAATATCGCCGAAAAACTCAACTGGTCCTGTCTTGCTTGTTTTAATCACGAACTTTGAACTGAAAAATGAATGCTTTCTATTTGGAACCATGTAAAATTGTATTCTATGAACTTTTAGTACTTTAGATCTAGTTTCCAACGGTATAAATTTTTCATTTTTGGACATACGAAACTCAAGATCTGATTTTACCAAATTTCTCGCGCAAAGCTAAAAGTGTTGATTTCTTAGAAAATGAACTTTTAAGGACTTTCCATCCTCCTTTGCAATTGTTGAATAGTTTTAAGTGTAATTTCATGGTAGAATTCACGGTTCCATTAGAACTTTAAACCTTCATTTCAACTCTTGGTTTCCCAAGGTTAAACCCTTCCTAATGTGTTTTCTTGGTTGTTCCACTTTCTTGGTTAATGACACCTTATTTTATAGTTGAATCTTGGAACCTTAGTTTTGATATTTTTTCTATGAAATGAGTGGAATTTTGGATATGTTTGACTTCATTAGCTTGGAAAAATATGAATACTCTTTACCTTCCAAAGTTTGGACGTGAGATTTAAAATTTTGGAAAATGAGAACCATTTACTTCCTTTCCTCGATTTTCGTGCGAAAGTGAAAACAGTGCTATCTTTTGGATTTGATATTTCTTATCATGACCTGAATCAAAAACCGC